TAAATTGCGTTATAAATGTTTTTTTTTTTTCTCACCGGTATGTAAGTCGGTATAAATAAAATGACAACAAGCTGTAAACGTGATGCATTTAATGTTTGTGGAAATAATGTAACGGGTTTTTGTCAAGGCGACGGATATACCCGGGGGGGGGAGCACCCGACCCGCCCCCCCGTGAATTGTCCGAGTTTTATTCGGGGACACGCAGTTTGTGATGTTTATGGCGCTGTTGATGGTGGTGTTTACGTGGCGGAGGCTCGTGAAGAACGCTGCTGCTCCTAGGCAGTTGGAAGGCAGTAGCCATCCAACAACAACGGAGGGCAGAGGAGCGACGCTCACAACAACGAGCGACGCGCATGGTGGCTAAAGCATAGCAAGTTTGCACAGTAGGGGACACAGGTGGTGCATCGGCCAGTCGTCTCAGTCAGTCGACCCATAGGCACCTGGGTCTGTCCGACGACCTCCTGCCAGCGGGCGTTCGACAACACTTCACGTGACCTTAACGTGCACATAGCCTGGCACAAGCGCCGTGGTGACGTCACCGCCACTTATTGGCGAATGGCGGTTGTTGGTGTTTATGTTTTGATGTAACGTCTGTGTTTACGGTTGTGTTGTGCAATTGATGTTTACTCACTCTGTGATGGGTGTATCGTTTGTGTTTACGTTGCGATGTGATCGTCATGCCATGGTTGTGTGGGATTGATGTTTCCGTGATGTTTGTGGTGATGTTGCAGACACTGTGCTCCTAAATTTGCCATCATCATCATCACAGCCATCGTTTACAATAACGGTATGCATCTTGATGATGATGGTAGTAGTGGTGATGGAAGTGTTGATTATGGTAGTGATGATGGTATTCATGATGTTGATGGTTTTTATAGTGGTGGTGTTGATGTTTGTGTTTATTATGGTAGCGATGAAGATCATGGTCGTAATGATGTTAGTATTGGTGATGGTAGAGTGATGATGATGGTAGTGAGTGATGATGTTTGTTGGTGATCATATTAGTGAATGATCATGGTGGTAGTGGAGTGATTATCAAAATGAGTGGTGATGGTAGTGATGATGGTGATGGTAGTAGGTGATGATGATAGTCGTGAGTGATGATGATGGGAGTGAATGACGGTAGTGATGGCGATGGTAGAGTGATGATGATGATGTGGTGAGATCTCACTCGCCACTGACGTGAGACATAGCCGGGAATGGAAGTCGTGTGTGTATCGCAGCGAGCTAATCACTGCGCCACCGCTCCCCAGACACAAACACCGCTGCGCAGATGTCTTCGTGGCCTGTGCGTGAGTCATCGCCGGATGACTTCAGCGCGTTTGGGGAGCAGGGTGATGGGGCGAGGGTGATCTGAGGTGATGGGGGAGAGGGTGATGGGGGGGATGTAAGGATACTGGGGGAGAGGGTGATGGGGGGGAGGGTGATGGGGGGGAGGGTGATGGGGGGGAGGGTGATGGGGGAGAGGGTGATGGGGGGGGGGGATGTAAGGATGATGGCGGAGAGGATGATGTAAGGATGATGGGGGAGAGGGTGATGGGGGGGAGGGTGATGGGGGGGAGGGTGATGGGGGAGAGGGTGATGGGGGAGAGGGTGATGGGGGAGAGGGTGATGGGGGGGGAGGGTGATGGGGGGGAGGGTGATGGGGGGGGAGGGTGATGGGGGGGAGGGTGATGGGGGAGAGGGTGATGGGGGGGGGAGGGTGATGGGGGGGAGGGTGATGGGGGGGGAGGGTGATGGGGGAGAGGGTGATGGGGGGGAGGGTGATGGGGGGGGAGGGTGATGGGGGGGAGGGTGATGGGGGAGAGGGTGATGGGGGGGGAGGGTGATGGGGGGGAGGGTGATGGGGGGGAGGGTGATGGGGGAGAGGGTGATGGGGGGGGGGATGTAAGGATGATGGGGGAGAGGGTGATGGGGGAGAGGGTGATGGGGGGGAGTGTGATGGGGGGGAGGGTGATGGGGGAGAGGGTGATGGGGGGGGGAGGGTGATGGGGGGGAGGGTGATGGGGGGGGAGGGTGATGGGGGAGAGGGTGATGGGGGGGGGATGTAAGGATGATGGGGGAGAGGGTGATGGGGGAGAGTGTGATGGGGGGGAGTGTGATGGGGGGGAGGGTGATGGGGGAGAGGGTGATGGGGGGGAGGGTGATGGGGGGGGAGGGTGATGGGGGGGAGGGTGATGGGGGAGAGGGTGATGGGGGGGGAGGGTGATGGGGGGGAGGGTGATGGGGGGGAGGGTGATGGGGGAGAGGGTGATGGGGGGGGGGATGTAAGGATGATGGGGGAGAGGGTGATGGGGGAGAGGGTGATGGGGGGGAGTGTGATGGGGGGGAGGGTGATGGGGGAGAGGGTGATGGGGGGGGGAGGGTGATGGGGGGGAGGGTGATGGGGGGGAGGGTGATTGGGGGAGAGGGGTGATGGGGGGGGGGATGTAAGGATGATGGGGGAGAGGGTGATGGGGGAGAGTGTGATGGGGGGGAGTGTGATGGGGGGGAGGGTGATGGGGGAGAGGGTGATGGGGGGGGAGGGTGATGGGGGGGAGGGTGATGGGGGGGAGGGTGATGGGGGGGAGGGTACTGGGGGAGAGGGTGATGGGGGGGGAGGGTGATGGGGGGAGGGTGATGGGGGGGAGGGTGATGGGGGGAGAGGGTGATGGGGGGGGGATGTAAGGATGATGGGGGAGAGGGTGATGGGGGGAGAGGGTGGATGGGGGGGGAGTGTGATGGGGGGAGGGTGATGGGGGAGAGGGTGATGGGGGGGGGAGGGTGATGGGGGGGAGGGTGATGGGGGGGAGGGTGATGGGGGAGAGGGTGATGGGGGGGGATGTAAGGATGATGGGGGAGAGGGTGATGGGGGAGAGTGTGATGGGGGGAGGGTGATGGGGGAGAGGGGGGAGTGTGATGGGGGGGAGGGTGATGGGGGAGAGGGTGATGGGGGAGAGGGTGATGGGGGGGGAGGGTGATGGGGGGGAGGGTGATGGGGGGGGAGGGTGATGGGGGAGAGGGTGATGGGGGAGAGGGTGATGGGGGGGGAGGGTGATGGGGGGTAGGGTGATGGGGGGGAGGGTGATGGGGGAGAGGGTGATGGGGGGGGGGGATGTAAGGATGATGGGGGAGAGGGTGATGGGGGAGAGGGTGATGGGGGGGAGTGTGATGGGGGGAGGGTGATGGGGGAGAGGGTGATGGGGGGGGTGATGGGGGGGAGGGTGATGGGGGGGAGGGTGATGGGGGGGAGGGTGATGGGGAGAGGGTGATGGGGGGGGGGATGTAAGGATGATGGGGGAAAGGGTGATGGGGGAGAGTGTGATGGGGGGGAGGGTGATGGGGGAGAGGGTGATGGGGGAGAGGGTGATGGGGGGGAGTGTGATGGGGGGGAGGGTGATGGGGGAGAGGGTGATGAGGGAGTGGGTGATGGGGGAGAGGGTGATGGGGGGGAGGGTGATGGGGGGAGGGTGATGGGGGAGAGGGTGATGGGGGAGGGGATGTAAGGATGATGGGGAGAGAGTGATGGGGAGCGGGGTGATTTCATGTGACGGGAGAGGGTGATGGGGGAGAGGAAAGGTGATGTGGAGAAGGTGATGTAAGGTTATGGGAGGGCGATGGAGGGTATTTTAAGGTGAAGTATGGAGGGTGAGTGGCGGGTGTGCGGGAGATGGTGTGTGATGGGGGGGGGGAGAGCACGGTGCATCGGGCACTACGAACCCCAGCTCCCCGAGATAAATTCTTAGCCACGGCAAACACCGACCCGCACTGACTCGTGCGGTGATGTATGGTCAATCTACCCACGTGGTCAACGCGGCATGGGGAGGCTTTCATCCAGCAGTGGCTATAATTGAATTGCAATGCGACATCGAGACTGACTGATCTCGCTTAAATTGGGAATCATCAGTGAGTTTAGCCCAGATACTTACGTAAGGTGATGGGGGAGGGTGATGTCATCAACATTAACCCTCCGTCACCCCCAACATCGTCTTGAACCACGCCTCTCATCATCGCCATCCGCTCCCCGCACCATCAACATTATCAACCCCTCCCCAATCACCCATATCATCAACAACCAATCATCCACCCCACCCCCCACCATCATCATCATTTACTCACTCCCCCATCATCATCATCCCCTCCCCCATCACCCCCATCCTCAAAAAGCCCCCCCCCCCTCTTCGCCCTCCTTCCATCACCGACTCCCCTACCACCCCGCCTCTCTGGGCGAGCCCACGTGGTAAGTGCAGTTCAGTACAGTACTCGAACAGGCTGCAGCGCAGTGTGCTTGCTACCTCTGCATCTCGTTGCTCCGCTTTGCAACCCCCCCCCCACCCCCATGCGTCTGTACCTCCCAAATCGTCCCTGCACCTCCCCGATTCGTATTGCTCCCTTCCACACCTCCTGCTCGTTTGCTTCTCCCGTCATCTCTCTGCCCCCTCTTCTGCACATCTCTGCTTCCCTTGCAACTCCCCGCCTCTCCCTCTACTTCCTTACTCCGTTGTCATTTTGCTCGCCTCGCCTATGCTCGCCCAGCCAACTCCATCCCTCCCTCTGGCCCTCCCCTTGGGTCGATTCGGCATTAGATGAGTGCCTGGTGCAGTATGTAAACATCAACACTTGGGAGACAAAGGCGGTCGGAAGTGATGCTGGTCACCCACCGCCTCGTGTGCCATGCCGACCTAATAGGTGCTCGCTGACAATACTAGCCCGAACAGTCTGTTAAAAGTTATATAGGGGATTTTTGTCTGTTCGTGTGTAAAGAGTCATTGTTACAGGTGTATGTAGTAGTAGCTTTTGATATTGTGTAGTAGCGTTGTACAGGTGTGTGTGTGTGTATGTGGTACAGGTGCGCGTGTGTGGGTAGGGTTTGGTACGTGTGTGTGTGTGGCAGGGTTGGTGCAGGTGAGTGCGTGTGTTTGCTATAGGTGTATGTGTGGTACAGGTGTATGAGAGTCCAGCCGGGTGATCCTAACCCAGCACTCCCATTCACTTTCCCACTTTCAGGTGGGGGGCCCTTGGCGCTTGTCTGTGCCTCCATCGCATGACGTGCCCAGGGTGAGAGCCCCCCACGGTGGGAGCGAGGTCCTCGCACTCCAAGCTCTATCGGCAATCCAGACTCCAAAGTCTCCCGGATCCAAAATCCAGGCTCCGGGATTCCGACTCCCAACACCCGAGGATCAATAACTCCAGGTTCCAGGCACCGACGCTTGAGGCTACTAAAGGCCCAGCAACCAAGACTCCAGGCTCCACAAGCCAATAATCCTCCATGCGGCGTGCTCCAGGCCCTGAGGCTCCTCCAAGCTTTGGAATTGTGGCTCCAAGCTCACCACACTCCAGACTCCTGTCCTAAGACTCCAGAATCCTGGAGCATGGACCCCCAGGATTTCTCCACGCCCGGCTCCGCGCCTCCCCCGCCGCTGAGTGCGGGGGGCCGGGTATCCTGTCATCCCGGCCCCGCTGCTGGCCCCCCTTCTCATCTTCTCTACCCCCCACACAAGTACATGGCGGCCCCCCACCTGCAACAGAAGCCCCTGCCCAGCGCGCACCCCTCAGGTGAGATGCGGGAGCCCACTACCCCTTACCCCCCCCCCCCCCCCCCGTAGCAACGCGGATTTTTAAATCCTTTATATTAAGTTCGCTTGCTTGCTTACGACCGTGCAAATCTTTTGGTCGTTTTTGAACCCACTTCCTGTGATCCAATCGAGCTGACATTTTGCACACAGACTCGTTGTGCGTGACAATTAATGTTCGTGAAAAATTTTCCTACATTTTACACTTTTTAGGACCAATATATTTAATTACCAATTGCTAATGGTGCAATGCAATCATCTGACCCATAGGTGGCAGCCATCTCAAGCCAGAGGACGAGAGGACTCTAGCCGCCACGCATATAAAGGATTTATAGTGAAAAACTTTGTTTTACGGGTTATACTTATTACAGGTGTGGTGGTGTGGTTGGGGGTGCAGGGTCCTGTGTGTACTGCAGCCGAGCCTGGAGCTTGTCAAGGGGCGGATTAATGTGGTTGCTGGGAGATTTGGAAAGTGGAGCTGGGGGGGGGGTATTGGTTGGCTGGGTGGGTGCTAGGTGTGTACACGCAGACACGTGTGTTTTGTGTGTGCGCGCACATGGGAGTGTAGCGGCGAGCACTACGAAACCCGGCGACCCCAGTTCGATTCCCGGCCATGGCCAACACCGGGTGACGATTATCTGAACCAGCCCTGAGGTCAACTCTGCTTCCAAATGAGTCCTTGGTGCGGTGCGTAGGGAGACGAAGGCGACGGCGTGGTGCTGGCCACCCTCGACTCGTGTGCCGTGCCGTCTTCATATGTGCACTGCCCTAACAGTCTGTTTGGCTGTACGGGAATCTTTATACTGGTAGGAACGAAGTGGACCAGACCACCAATAGATTAATGTGTCCGTCCGTCCGTCCGACTGTCCGTCCGTCCCTCCGTGTATCAACATCGCCCCCTACTGCAAACACTTGGCATGACCCTACAAAAACCTTTAGACTCAGTGACGCTATCCTGGTAGCAACATCGCCCCCTACTGCAAACACTTGGCATGACACGTGTAACATTCCCTTATTCCCTGAGATAGCTTTTGATTAAAACCTTGAAATTAAATAAAGTGCGCGCGTTTCGTTAACATTAACGTGAGTAGCCGCGTGTAAGAGTTACATTTTAACGAGACGCGCGCAACTATGTTACTGAGGCCTAGTCCGTTAGCGCCTCGTATACAGCCTTAGGCTTTTGCGTGGCAAGGTATATTAAGCGTTTATTTTAATATGTTATAAAAAATAAATTGCACTTTTAACATTAACGCGAGTAGCCGCGTGTAAGAGTTACATTTTAACGACAGGCGCGCGCTATAATCATTAGTTATAAACTGTATTAGTCACTTTTAAGTTACTGAGGCCTAGTCCGTTAGCGCCTCGTATACAGCCTTAGGCCTTTGCGTGGCAAGGTATGTTAAGCGTTAGTTTTAATTTGTTCATAAAAATAAATTGCACTTTTAACATTAACGCGAGTAGCCGCGTGTAAGAGTTACATTTAACGACAGGCGCTCGCTATAATCAGTAGTTTATAAACTGTATTAGTCACTTTAAAGTTACTGAGGCCTAGTCATTCAGCGCCTCGTATACAGCCTTAGGCCTTTGCGTGGCAAGGTATATTAAGCGTTTATTTTAATTTGTTTATAAAAATAAATTGCACTTTTAACATTAACGCGAGTAGCCGCGTGTAAGAGTTACATTTTAACGAGACGCGCGCACTATAATGAGTGGTTTATACTGGTAGGAACGAAGTGGACCAGACCACCAATAGATTAATGTGTCCGTCCGTCCGTGGAGGGGTGGTGTTGAGGGTGGTGTTGGAAATGAAAGACTACGAGTCTTTAAATCTAACAGCGTTTCTTGTCAAAACAAACACTTTTAATTAACGTTACACTAGAATACAGTAATTTTTTCTTTAACTCCTCTATACCCGATCTATCTCTGTACCAGTACTAAGTATTATTCCTACCAGCCCACCCCGCAGGGTCCTGTTCTTTTTACACAAACACTAGCTGTACTACCCGGCTTCGCCCGGGACTTGTATCCACCACGGCCGGCCGCCTTTGTCTCCCCAGTGGCGATGTTAATACGCCACAGCAGTTACTCGTTTGAGGCAGAGTCGACCTAGGGGAGGTTCAAATAATCGTCACCGGTGGTGGCCGTGAGCGGGAATCGAACTGGGTTCGCCGGGTTGGTAGCGCAGCGTAGCGTTAAGCACTACACCCACCGCTCCTCACACAGCACACACGCACAGACACACGCAGACACAGACCACACAGACAGCACGCTAACCACTACACTACCGTTCCCCCTACACAACACACGCGCGCGCGTCCATAGGTACACATACACGCGCTTGCTGCAGACACACACATAAACACACATACATACACGCAGACACACACATACACACACACATACATACACACAAACACATACACAGTGACATGCGTATTCCCATCGCGGGGCACGGGACGTGCCTCCCGGCAAATCCCTCGCAAGCGATCGTACACAGATGGACAGACAACTGAACAGTACGACGTTTGGCTGGTAATTGCATCCAGCATCAGCGAAAGGACGTACTCTGAAATGGGAATTGTTGTGGTTTTATGCTTGTACACACCGGTGGGCCAAAGCAGAGACTTATGAGTGTTTTATCAACGGGACACTTTTTGACTGATTGGCCGTGTGGGGTGGTGGAGGGTTACAACACATTAATTAAGGCGAGCGAAAGGCAATACAGTTATTTTGAAGAATGGTTGCGAAAGGCGTACGTGTTACAAAAAGACTCACTTTACTTAAGAAGCAGGCTAATGTGTACATGATAGACTGTCAGTAGAGCCACCCAGAAATATAACCAGGCTACACTGTACATTCTAGAGTGGCAGTACGCTCAGCCAGCTTAATGAGTATTTGAGTGAACATTTAAACAAATCCATTATTGGCGCGTGTGGTTTAAACATAATTATACAGTAGTTTTTTCATGAGAAATGGCAATTGTTGTGGTTTTCTGCTTGAACACACCGGTGGGCTAAAGCAGTCAAGTCTTAGTCTTTTATGAACGTGACAATTTTGTGGAGATTGGGCGTGTCGGGTGGTGGATAAGGGTGACAACACCTTAATAAATAAGGCAATCTAACGCAATAACGTTGTTTATGAATAATGTTTGCGAAAGCGTACGTGTTACAAATTGACTAACTTTACTTCCTAACCAGGCTAATGTGTACATGATAGACTGGCAGTACACCCAGTCAGCTGAATAAGCAGGCAGCAGTCTACATAATAGACGGGCAGTACGCTAAAGCAGCTTAATGGACTATTTGTACAAAGAACATTGAAAGAATCGATTATAATAACCAGGCTACAGTCTACATTATAGACTGCCAGTACACCCACTCAGCTTCATAAGCAGGCTAGAGTCTACATGATAGAGTGGCAGTACGCTGACAGAGTTTAATAAGCAGGCTACAGTGTACATAATAGACTGTCAGTACACTCACCCAGCTTAATGAGTATTTGTACAGTGAACATTAAAGTAATCGATTGTTGGCGCGTTGGGTTTTAAAAGTAATATTAATAGCACACATTGTGGTGGGGGTGTAGTGAAGTGTAGGAAAAACTTTGATGAATTTACCTCAGAGTGGCGTGGTGGGTGTCGGGGCCTAGTAGCGTGCAAAGCCTGCGGCCTCGCCTAAAATTGTCGACTTGGAAGAGGCAGGGTACGGGTGGCGTTCCTTCCCCCCCCCCCCCCTAGCGCGCCAACAATACTGTGTAATGGCTATTATTTAATTAATTACGGAGCTTATGAAAGTGGCGAAGGCGTGGCTAGCGGTTGGCAGGGGCAACCGCCGTCCAATGAAAGTGCGTATGTTCCGGAGACACACAGACACACAGACAGACAGACAGATTCACGATTTTATATATATAGATTAGCCATGCTTTAGCTCGCACCACAGGACGTGACTGCACACGTTAGCACGCGTGCACGCTGGTAAACACTCGCGTAACCCCACATGCTAAATGGGAGTCTATTATAATCGCACTCTCATGATTACATTGTCCTAAAACACGAGTTGAGCCTTCTGCGCGGATATTAATTATTTTAACCAATTCTATATTTGTGTTGGCGCTCGTGCCTCTCCACGGCAAGATGTGTAGAGATGTTAACTACCTCTCCTGGTACACAGGAGGTCCTGGGTTCGATCCCAATCCTGACGCCTGTATATTGCGAGTTTTCATGTCTCTCCCCTGTAGTATCATGGATTTTTCTCCGGGTCCTCCAGTTTTTCCCTCCATTTTAGAATCAACATGCGTTTTAAAAGTTGTGTTGTTATAAATGTCCCACGTGGTCATAAACCACTTGGTAGTGCTGTCATTTGTCGCTTTTGAAAAAGAGTTGCATAGATCTGTGGGCCTTGCCTGGTAATGTAACAAAAAATGTTTAGTTTAACTTTAGGAAAAGCGTCTTGAGACTGAGGCTCTCCTTTTAGAAACAAGGCTCGTACAGTATATAATAATGCCTTTTATATCGAAGGATTCCACGGTTTAATCGATTTTTTTTGTACTCTCTAGTTGACTGACTAAACATAGCTACACTCGTGCACAAACCCGAACACGTGTACACAGACTCGTGTAAACTCAACACGGACGGATTTGCCCCCCCCCCCAATCCGTATAGCCTTAACCGACTCTTAGGGCAAGTGCTGTTCGCGAGCACCTAATGGGGGGGGGGGGGTGGTTGGCCAGCATCACGCCCGGTCGCCTTTGTCTCCCCAGTGGCGATGTTTATACACCGCACTAGATGCTCATTTGAGGCTCAGTCGATCTAGGGGGGAGGTGCAGGACCGGTTCAGCTAATCGTGTGTGCGTGTGTACATGCGGTAGTGTAGCGGTTAGGGCGCTGCGCTATGAACCTGGAGACCCGGGTTCGATTCCCGCTCACGGCTAACATCAGGTGACGATTATCTGAACCGGACCTGGGCCTCCCCTAGGTCGACTTCG